GTGCAGGCGGTCTGCGGCCGAGGAGTTGGACTCGGGCGGGCAAGCCGCGCAGGCGTGGTCTCGGGCAACATGTGGCCGAGGAGAACGGCGTAGGCGGTCTGCAGCCGAGGAGCTGGGCTCGGGCAGGCAGGTCGCGCAGGCGTAGTCTCGGGCAGCATGGGGCCGAGGAGCACGACTCAAGCGGGCAAGCCGCGCAAGCATGGTCTCGGGCAACACGCGACCGAGGAGCATGACACAGGCGGGTTGCGGCCGAGGAGCACGGCGTAGGCGGGTTGCGGCCGAGGAGCACGACTCAGGTGGGCAAGCCGCGCAAGCGTGGTCTCGGGCAACACGCGACCGAGGAGCATGGCGCAGGTGGGCTGCGGGTCGGGGGCGAGCTAGAGCGACCCAGGCAAGAGCTGACCCCTTGCGCCGAGCGGTTAAGCTCAGGCTCGGGCTTTGGAGCCGGCGATCGCAAGTCAGGAGCGAGCTGGGCCGACGCCTTGCCACGCTCCGAGGGTAGACCTCTTGCCCCAAGCGGTTGCTACGGTAGACCCCTTGATCGTTCCGCCCTTGGCCTTTTCCCATTCATGCGCTTTCCTGCCACTAGAGCTTCAGTGGCAATGTACCGATTGACGCACTGCAACATCTTGGGGATGGTTGCCGGCGAGTTCTCGACTAGCGACCAGAAGAATCTGGAAGGTCGCAGGCCTACCATAAATGCTTGGATCAACAGAGAGGGGTGAGCGTCCGATAACCCCCGGATTTGTGTTGCAAAGCGGTTCACAAAATGGGAGAGGGGCTCGTCCTCCCTCTGGTGTAGTCCGAGAAGCAGTGCAACGGACGATTTTGGTCGGGCGTTGGCCAGGAAGTTGAGCTCGAAGTCTTTGACGAGCTGGTCGAATGAGGCGATTGTCCCGGTCTTCAGGCCGTTCTACCACGCGCGGGTTGGCCCTCTTAGAGTTATGGGAAATGCCTTGCACATGAAAGCGTCAGAGGTTCCATACAGCGCCATTTGGGCGCGGAAGGCGGCTACATGGTCCGCTGGGTCGGTAGAGCCATCATATGCGTCTAGAGAGGGGGGACGGAAGTTCGGGGGGACTGTCTGATCCTGTATTTCAGGGACGAACGGAGATCCATGGCGTGCGTCCTCCCCGAGCTCTCCTTTTGACCCGCAGACCTCGTTCTGCACCTCGTCGAGCCGCTGACTGACGAGGTGCAACTGGGCTCGTAGGGAGTCCGTCAAATCCAAAGATAATGCCTCGGGTTCCGTGTGGCCTCTCCGGTTTTCCGCCACTCGATCCCCAAGTGGGGACAACTGGACCCGAGGTGAAGCGAGAAGCTCCTGGGGTGGCGTACGAGCCCGAACGGGTGGCTCCTGTTGCTGCAGCGGTTGGGCGACCGACGAGTGCAATGAACGAGAAACGAGTGGAATAATGGACTGCACCATATCGGTCAGAGCTCGGACTTGATGGGTGAGGTTGTGAAAGGCCTCAGGCGAGACAGGCGATGGGTCGACAGAAGGAGCGTCGGGCGACGACAAGCCCAGGTCGTTGAATATCCGCGAATAGCGCTCTGAGGTTGTGGTGGGGTGTTCGTTGCGAAGACCCCCATGCGGGGGATGTTCCCCCGGAGCTCCGATCAGGTGAGACCCTTCGGCTGTGGGTTCGACAGAGTCGATCTGGCGATCCCTCGACATTCGGGCCCTCCTTCTAGCACCAAAATGTTAGTGTAAACAACCTTAAACCATGGCCTCAGGGCCGACGTGCCTTGGTTCGGGTCCGGATGATGAAGGATCTCCTTGGGACGTTCCTCGGGACCGTTGAGGTGGTCGGCCGCGGTGGTCCGATCAAGACGGAATCGTCGCTTCCTCCGGGAGGGAACTCCTCACCTGGACGCGCGGAGGGAGACGCCTCGTCCTTGTACCTGCATACAGGTCGGGTCGGGGGAGCTCGGTCCGACCCCTCCGACGATCAAGTTAGTGAAGAGTAGAAGGGGAGTTGTTTCTTCTCCCTTTTCTCGTCTCTTTCTTCTCCTCTCTTTTCTATTTTGTTTTCTTCCTCTTTTCTGTTTTGTTCTCCCCCTCTTTTTTATTTTGTTCTATCCCTCTTTTTTGTTTTGTTCTCCCCCTCTTTTCTGTTTTGTTCTCTCCCTCTTTTCTGTTTTGTTCTGTCCCTCCTTTCTGTTTTGTTCTCTCCCTTTTTTCTGTTTTGTTCTCTCCCTCTTTTCTGTTTTGTTCTCTCCCTCCCCCTTTTTGTTTTGTTCTATCCGATCAGGACGGAATCGTCGCTTCCTCCGGGGACGCGCGAAGGGAGATGCCTCGTCCTTGTACCTGCACACAGGTCGGGTCGGGGGAGCTTGACCCGACCCCTCCGACGATCAAGTTAGTGAAGTGTAGAAGGGGAGTTGTTTCTTCTCCCTTTTCTCGTCTCTTTCTTCTCCTCTCTTTTCTATTTTGTTTTCTTCCTCTTTTTTGGTTTGTTCTCCCCCTCTTTTTTGTTTTGTTTTATCCCTCTTTTTTGTTTTGTTCTCTCCCTCCTTTCTGTTTTGTTCTGTCACTCCTTTCTGTTTTGTTCTCTCCTTCTTTTCTGTTTTGTTCTCTCCCTCCCCCTTTCTCTCAGAGCGCGAGGGAGCCTGAGCGGGGTGTTAATGTGCCTTAGTAGGCGTTTCAGTCCGGGGCATCATCTGGACCAGCTGGCATCACCCCGAGTCTTATCGCATTTATTACTCTCATCAGGTGATAGGATGAGTTGATGCCACTAGTACTTTTCTTATTACCATGTGGTAGGACGGGTTACGGGTCCTCTTCTTTCTAATTAATGAGAGTCAAACATCATTACTAATTTTACAACTAATATATTGAAAAAGAAATTATTATACTTATTTTATATGTTTGACTTATAAATTAAAAAAATATTTAAAAAAAAAACATAATTAAAATTCATGGTCTATTAACAAATCAACAACACAACTATAACTATTAATAAATTAACTTATTTGGCTTCTTGTGGTCGAGTTACATTTTTTATTTCTTTTTTAAAGGATGGGATTTGATTCTTATATCTTGCTATCAAACAGTTTAAGTATTTTGCCAATGTCTAATTAATCAAGAGAATTATGTGCGTATCCTTTTAAAAAAAAGAATAAAGAAGCGTTCAACTCCAGAAAGGAGAAAATAAAGGGATATCCCAAACCCATCATGTCTCCCTGTTTATGGACTCCGATCCAAAGTTAATGAGGAGTATGATTTGATTAGATTCTTCTAATTCGACAGGAATGATTTGATACAACACCATTCCATTCACCTGCAACATCAGGAAGGCCCACTCGCTCGCGGTGTGGCCACACAGCTGACAAAGACTCCTCATTTGAACTTTCGACACTACACGCCTCCTGCAAGAAGAAAAGAAGCACACACAAAAAAAAAAGAAAAAGAAAGAGCTGCCCAATTAGCATCGTGGTGTCGTCGTCCTTCTTCGGTACCACCTTCCTTTGCGCTTTGCGCCTGTGGAGGATGATCGGGTGGCGCGATGTGGGCATGCATCGTTTCGTTTCGTTTCGGTGTGTGCGTGTGGGCGGATCGGAACGTCCACAAACGTTATCGTAGACGACTCCATCGATTGGAAGATCACTTTTTTGTTATTGTATATTTTGTTGATTCGAAGATAAATGTCTCCTATTGCTGGGAGAGTTTGGGAAGCACGATATAATCCTTTCCAAGTGATCGCTCTCCCACAGACATCATTAGCCACAATCGATGCCTTTTGTCATCATCTTCTGATATTACATATAATATATAAATGTGTATTTGATAGAGAAAGTTTTGGAGGATATATTGGGAAGAAGATCGCATTAAAACCGGCATTGCGGATTACTGCTTGCGTGGATACTTCCTTCCTTCCTTCCCAAAACATCCCCAAATGGCTTTTCCTTGATGCTTCCTCGCCTTCCCAGCTCTCGCGCACCTCCGTTCGGACCGTGCTTCGGGCGATGACGGCGCCCAACATCGAGATGATCGCTGCTTTGCTCAGGAGCTGCAATCTGGGGAGAGGCGGAGACAGGGTGTCTCCGCCGTCGGCTGCGGCGCGTTGGGTCGAGGCGAGCGACGAGAGCGCGGGAGAGGTCACGGTGGAGCTCAACTCGGAGACGGCGCTCCCTTACCACTGGGAGCAGTGTCTTGACATGCGGGTATGCGGCTGCTCCTTAAATGCTTCTCTCCTTTCACCAATCATTGATCATAAATGCACCAAAAAATGCTGTTTTGGAATCATTTCCGGCCATCAAAATCCGCCCCACCCATTCGTGCCATTTCCTCATCGGAATCCTTCGTCGTTGTAGCTATCTGCCTTTGCTTCGCCAAATCTGCCTATATCCGAACGAGCGAGCGGAGAGTCATTCATCGCTTTTAGCTCTTCTCTTTTCGAACTAGTGCTATTTCTTTTGATCTGAGGAGCAGCAGAGAAGAAGAGGGAATCATTTCTGCAAAGCACTGGAAAAGCCAGGCAAAGAAGTTTCTGTTGATCCATGGACGACACATATCCCTTCTTCCTAAATCTCGAGAGGGCTACTCCTTTTTTGATTCTCTACGCCCATTTCCGTCCTGCTAAACTTCCCCTGTTTCCGTGGCAGACAGGGGAAGTCTACTACATCAACCGGGAGACGGGAACCAGGACGAGCAAGGACCCGAGAACCGCCGTCGCTGCCGCCACCTATTCATCGAGCTACCACTCCGAGGAAGACGTCTCATCTGATGATGACAGCTGCTCCGGAGTCGGCGGCAGCGACGACCACGAGGACAGCGTCGACACCGCCAACTCCTGCCTCACCTCCCTCTCGTCCACCTCTACATCGGATACTAGCGCGGAGCCCAGCGGTGGCCATATCCTCGTTTCCGCCGGATGCAGGTCCTGCTTCATGTACTTCATGGTTCCCAAGAGCATCGACGCCTGCCCCAAGTGCGGCGGCCGCCTCCTTAAGCTCGGCCGCGACGGCTGCGTCTGAACTCCCATGTATTTTGGATCAATCCAGCGAGAAAAGATCGAGCTTTTATGACCGAGTTCCAATTTTTTTTAGCTTCTCCTGCGATATCTTCCTACTCTTAGTTAAGATTAGATGTGAATGACAAAGTGGCGATTGATTGAATCAGAAGCACACGCTCTGTGTCTCTCTCGCCATGTTTAATTCTTCTTCTTCTTCTTCTTCCTGTTCCGAGCAGCAGCAATCAATCTCTGTGCATGGTGGGATACGGCTTTTCCTCGCCACTCTTTATCCCAACATGGGCTTCAGAATAAAGGCTTTCGCTTCTGACACTCCTCCCATCACCTTTCCGTGACCGCGTCCGGTTTTAATGAATGCTAAACAACAACGACAACAGCTACTCCTTCTCATTTGCTTCCTACTTCGATACCATTAATCCTAAATCCAACTCATAATCAAATAATATGACCTTGTCATCACGGTCGAAGGTGCTTCGGCTCGAACCATCATTGTGACCAATGTTTCTTTCGTTACTCTGCTTTGCAAGGACATGGAACCACGCACATACACATACCAAGTAGACATGTCAAGGTCTCGCCTTGGACTGAGAAGGGAATAAAGTGGGTGGGTGAGGGTTAACTGCTTCGGACAAGGAACCTTTCCTCGGGTTGGCAGAAAGGAATCTGTGACAGAGGAGGAAGACAGTGGGCGGGCACACACCACACCCCTTTCTTTTACTCCCACCAGAGGAGAGGAACCAGAACCAGAAATCTTACACATTGTTCCCCAGCGACGAGCTAGTCTTGCCTCGTGAGAGCCCTACTAGCCTTTGCAGGCCACAACCAGAGAGCATTAATTGTGACGGACAGCCGTCGTCACAGTGCAACCGAACCGAGTTACACACGCTTTGTGCTGTCATACCGTCTTCTCCTCGGGCCCAAACCTTATCGTTTCCCATCTCCTGGAATGGCGCTCTCCATCCATTTCGCTGACTCTACGTTGCAGCGAAGTTATCATGACCTGATGATGCAAATCCTAAGCTTCTTTCGCATCTCATTTGAGGTCCAAAAGGAAATGCCAAATGTCAGCCATGACCACCCAATCCTGCAAGTCAAATTAACAGGAAGAATCCATCTATCCATACCCCCACGCAGATTGTTTATTCGTATACATAACATCAGACGCAAACACATGACGACACGAACGTAGGAAAGTCTGCACAAAAAAGAGGTAGTTCTCTGCATCTCGCTGGTTCTTCTAAGTGGTAACTCGACTAACCCCCTGCTCAGCTCCATGAGAGGCCGCTGCACAGTCCGACACGTCGTTCAGGAGATGCTCGGATGCCTTCTCGAAATGGACGAAGCCCATGAACCAGAAATCATGCCCATCCACCGTCGCAATCTGGATGTACTTGTGCGACGGATTCTCACCCAGTGTAACTGGATTCACGGTGGCAATCTTGATCAGAGGGATCATAACCTGCAAGATCATAATCCGGATTCAGAAGCTCTGGAGATGGACAAGTCTTGCGGTGCTGTGGTCTACCTTGTAGTAGCTCCAGGCTTGCTGACCGGAGGGTGCCGTGAAGGAGAGGGGCCGATCGCTGCAGAATGCGACGTTGACGTTAGAGAGGTAGAGGGTTCCCGCGACCGGTCCGGTGGTGGTCGAGAGGTAGCAAGCAAACGTCTTCTTCAGCCTCTCGGTAGGATCGGTTTGGAAGGTCTGCTTGTAGAGAGACTCGAAGCCGCCCTCGGCGAAGGCTTTCGCTGTCAGGCTCAGCTTCCCCATTGCTGCCTCGGTTTTGGATGGTGCTGTCTTCACTGTCACAACATATCCATAGCATGCATCAGCCGACCACTACATCTACCGAGGGGAGAGAGAGAGAGAGAGAGAGAGAGGATGCTTACGGTTGTGCCAAATGTTGTGGGCGAGGTCCTCTGCTTTCTTAGCCCAGGAGTTGAAGAAGTCCAGTATGCTCTCCATGGGGCTGCCACCGGGGCCTCTGCTCACCGGCTCACGCTCCAGTACGTAGGGCGGCCGCTCGTCGTCGCCTCGGGGGCTCCAAAGCGCCGCTCTCTGGTTCTCTGGGTGCGCCGATGGCGCAGCAGGTGGACCCATCAGCTTCGTTCCCCACTTGGCCTCCTCCGTGACATGAGCCGCTTCGTTCGCCTCCTTCTCCATGGCCTTTGCTTCCTTGAGGTGCTACGCGCACGGATCGTACCTAATCAACAAGATGGAGTAGTTGGAGGAAGAGAGAACGCCAGAAGATGAAAGACGAGTCGATGGACGATGGATTATATAGAGAGAGCAGAGCAGGTTTCGTGCCTTAGCGAGGAAGGTTTACGTCGGTCGGATGCGGCACGCGTGGGGACGAGTAGCTCCGCGACGGAGACGACGTGTCCGCACAGAGAATAGTCATTGCTGCCGTGTCGAGTCGGTATTATCTAATACTGCTCATATTAATTATATTTATTTATCCTAAAACCCTTTAAATTTTGGAAACGGGAATAATAATATATTATCATGAGATACAGAATAAATAAAAAATAGAGAAAATAAGAAAATGAAGGAAGGAGAGAAATCATATGATGGTGAAGTAGAGTCAAATAATAATAATGAAACCAAATAATCATTATAGGCAATGTTTCTATTTTAATTCATAGATGAGTTTCTTATCTTACTTGTAGCATCGGTGTTCTACCAAATGAGAAGGATTCTCTTTTAAGTCTTCCTTTATTTGATTTGGGATGGTTATGATGTCAACCAAATCCTATTTTAATTATTTCGTGCCTCCTTGCAAAAATAGAAATGCTTTCTATAATCTGAATAAAGTGCTATGAAACTGTATATAATTTCCAAAAATAATTAGCATCGATGCTAATTAATAATAATAATAATAATAATAATAATAATAATAATAATAATAATATTATTATTATTATTATTATTATTATTATTATTATTTGGATGCGCGACGACAACATATAATCTGCACAATCATCTCAGGAAACTTAATGTGTTCTTAGCAAAAGAAGAATATTGGTTATCTATTATAGCTCGAAGTCCCAACCAAAATTTCAACTTGCTAACATTCATGCCAGACGAAAAGAAGAACCGAGCAGCCGGCACAGCCGACGTCGACCGGAGAGAGAAAAGCCGGTCGCCTCTGAGAAATAGTCACCGAGCAGAAAAGAAAGGGCGGAGCAATCGTGACCAAACAACGCAGAAATAAAAACAAAAAGAAAAAGGTGCGAGGGAAGAAATGATGATGAGTGTTTGGACACATCGCTCCCGCAGAGGACACAGACGTAGTCGCTACGTGATACGCAAAAGACGAGCTTATCCTGGCTGGCTGCACCGCTTGCATCTCCAACCCCCTTCCGACGATGCTACCGAGTGCTTCGACGACTGCATCACAGTCACAGGGGTCATCTGCAATGACATGGTGAGTGCTTGTACATCGACTGTATGATGCCAACAAAATGATACGAACTGTCGCCCTTTTTGTAATCCACCGACGGATAAAATCTGGTGGTAAAAACTGTTGAGAGTCTGCACTGAGAGAGCTTTTTCTACATGTTTGGCCATCTTGGTTCAGAACTCCATCGACACCCACAAGCAAAGCACATGAACACAAAAATCAATATGCTTTCCAATCTTGAATAGCTCGAAGTTGTTTCCATAAAAGCAAAAACATTAACCGATAATTATTCTAAACTTACCATTACAAACAAGAAGCCTCTTGTAGCAGAACCAAAATCTACAAACTGGGACTTTGTGTTCTTTCACCCTAACTTCAACCTACAAACATAACTAGGAAGGATCATGGTACCACTAAATGAAATGAAAAAAAAAATTACAATCTCAATTAAACTACCTTTTACGCTACTACCGACCATACAGCCATGCTAGCAGACTCTATAATGTCCAGACAAAATCCGGTGCTTCGTTCCTTGGTCCAGTCAGAGTTCGATACACGTACATTTTCTCCACCTTGTGTGTGTCGCTAGGATTTTCCTCCATCTCAACGCTTTCATCCCATTCATTTATGACCTCCACGTTTAATCTCGGCATCTTTGCTGCAAGTGCCTTACAACCCCCCAAGGTAACATCACAGGATGACATCCAAAGGGATCGCATTGTTTCATACTTCCCGACATTCTCCAAAAGTGCGGCATCGCCAAACGGACTGTCCCTTATTTCTAGCTTCCGGAGATTCTTGCACCCGTTGAGTACGTAAATCATTCCCTTATCGCTATCACCGGCGAATGCAATCGAAAGCATCTCAAGACGTGCAGCATACTCGCCGATATACAAGAAAACCTTGTCGGTTAGAAGACCTGATAATGATAGTCTCCTAAGATCTTTACATGACTGCACAATAGCCCCAAAACCTTCATCCAGTGGCTGATTAGTGATGGGATCAGGCTTCCCTGGATCAAGGATGCACAGCCTGAACCGTATGAAACGGGGACAGTTCTTTGCGACGGTGATAAGTGCAGCATTTGTCATCTGGCAGCAGAAATACAGCAGAGAGTTCATCTTTGAGCAACCTGAAGATATAGCGACCAGGCCTTCTTCGGTCACGGCAGCAGTGCCAGTTCCATAGATATCAGAAGGAAATACCCTCAACTCCTGTAACTGTTTACAAGTGGATGCCACGACGGCTAGCCCTTTGTCTCCGATGCAATCTAGTACCTGCAAAATCACTCATGTTACAATGTAATTAAATCACAAGAAGAAAACGAGGCAATTACAAAGGGGAGCGGCGAGGCCTCACCCAAAGCTTCTGAAGTTTAAAACAGTGACGAATCAACTTTACTTGATCGGCACCCTGGATTGAGGGGGCATAGCTCAAGTTTAATACAGTAAGGTTTGGGCAGATTGGATATACAGACTGCAGGCAGAGTGGATCAACATCCCAGAAACCCGACAGATTCCTCAGCGACTTGCATTTGCGGAAGGCATTTATCATCCTCCGGTAAGCTTCGGTGTGGCGGTCGACTGTTAACGAACCAGTTCCAAGTTCCACCAGATGCGGAGCTCGGTCAAGTATCCTGGTCAGCGATTCTACAGATACAGCACGGTTAAGCTT